TGTGTACTGGTTTATATATCCTGGTGGGGACTTAAACCTGACTACACACAGACTCATGGGGACTCGTGTCATGGTGGGGACCTAAATTGTGGTCCCCACGGGTACAAAAGCTTATAAATCATACAGAATGAAGTTTTTTGAAAATCTAAAAATGCAGAAAGTTTCCTGTGAGGGGTAGGTTTAGGGGTAGGGTTGGTGTAGGGCAATAGAATATACGGTCTGTACAGTAGAAAAACCATTACGCCTATGGAGAGTCCCCACAAGGATAGCTGACCAGACATGTGTGTGTGTGTGTGTGTGTGTGTGTGTGTGAGAGTGAGTGTGTGTGTGAGAGAGATAGTGAGTGTGTGTGTGTGTGTGTGTGTGAGTGTGAGTGTGTGTGTGAACTGACTTTAACTGAAAAATTGACTGTTTACTATTGTCCTCTTTTTAAAGATGCTCTACAGCAGAATTGAATTTTGTTTACATTGTTGACACTATTTTCCTGTTTAACACTGTAAAGCTGCTTTGACACGATCTACAGAAGTGCTATAGAAGTGAAGGTGACTGGACGACTCTGTGTGTTTATCACTTCCTGTTATTTTAGATGTCCGTTGTAAAGCCACGTGGACACTACAGTACAGTGAAACCACAAGAAAGCGTGTGTCATGCAAGGGCGTAGTTTTGGTTTGAACATGGGGGTGGGGTGAAGCGTGAACTGTTTTAGTAGAGTCCCAGGTCATGCTCATTCATAAGGTTTATTTATTTGTTTGTTGGCTTATACATTTATTTTTGTGAAATGGTCTTTTGTGCTATCATCTATGCAAAGTTGGTGCAATAAAGTAACATCATAGTTAACAATTACTTGTTTACATAGGATATATATATATATATACAGTGCTGCTTTGCACAGTTTGTGAACCCTTTAGAATGTTCTATATTTCTGCATAAATAGGACTCAAAACATAATCAAAATTTCACACAAGTCCTGAAAGTAGACAAAGATAACCCAAACAAACAAATGAGACAAAAATATTTTCTTTGCCATTTATTTATTGAGAAAAATGATCCAGTGTTACATTTCTGTGCGGTGCAAGAGTATGTGAATCTTTGCTTGTTTTCAGTATCTGGTGTGACCCCCTTTTGCAGCAATAACTGCAGGTAAAGTTTCTTGTAACTGCTGGTGGGCTTGTAGTACTTCTAGCCCCTTCCTCAGAACAGAACCTCTTCAGCTCTGTGGTGTTATGGGTTTCCTCCTATGAACTGCTTGCTTCAGCTCCTTCCACAACATTTCAATTGAATCAAGGTCCAGACTTCGACTCAGTCATTCCAAAACATTAACTTTGTTCTTCTTTAAACATTCTTTTGGTAAAACGACTTGTGTGCTTGGGGTCGTTGTCTTGCTGCACGACCCACGTTCTCTTGAGATTCAGTTCTCGGACAGATTCATTGTTCTGGTCCAGATGCAGGAACACAAAACATTTCTCCAGTAGCCCTCTGGCTTGTCCACATGCATCTTTAGCAAACTGCAGACTGGATGCACCATGCACACCGTGGTTGCTCAGTGTTCTCCTGATGGTGTACTCATAAACATTAACATCAGCCAATGTGAGAAAGGCCTTTAGTTGCTCAGAAGTATCCCTGGGTTCATTTGCAACCTCGCAGACTATTACAAGTCTTGTTTTTGGAGTGATCTTTGTTGGTCGACCGCTTCTGGGGAGGGTAACAGTGGTCTTGAATCTCCTCCATTTCTACACAATCTGTCTGACTGTGGATTTGTGGAGTCCAAACTCTTTTAATGAGCAACAGCAACTCTTTTTCTGAGGTCCTCAGAGATCTCCTTTGTTCGTGCCATGATTCACTTCCACAAACATGACCAGACTTCGATAGATCCTTGTTCTCTAAATAAAACAGGGCAGGCAATGACACCTGATAGTCATCTCACTGATTAAAAAACACCTCTGAACAGATGCACTCTTAATTTCGCTTTCAAATTAACTGCTGATCCTAGAGATTCATAGAAATAGAAATGTAACACTGGGTCATTTTCCTCAATAAATAAATGAAAAAGAAAATATGTTTGTCTCATTTGTTTGATTTGGTTATCTTTGTTTATTTTCAGGACTTGTGTGAAAATCTGATTATGTTTTGTGTCATATTTATGCAGAAAAAAGGGTTCACAAACTTTCAAGCGGCACTGTATATGTATATATGTATATATTTATGTATGTGTGTGTGTGTGTGATGTAGCCTATTTTATATTATTTAGGCACTTATCGGCTATAATTTGACAGAATGTTCTGAACATGCCATGAGAAGTCAATCTTAACATTTTCTTATATTGATATTGTTTATTTCTTACTCCTTAACAGTTCATCAGGATCTGAATGATTTAATCTATGCCATCTTTTGGAATAGGCCTATCTGAAGACCATATACCATAGTTCTTAACTGTAGCATTTGTTATAAGACTAGCCTATTAATCATTACCAGGCCAATAATTGCTTTTTTTAATTAATCAATATATAGCATGTGTTATGAAGAAACAACCGCCTGCACATTTAGAAAAAATAGCTACAACAAGCCACAGTTGTAATAAAAATCTATAGGGAAAAATCTGTTCCCTTCACAGATTATCTAATATAAATTCTACAAGAAGTTGCACATTCTCTTTGGCTGAACTATTGCTTTGACAATTATCTGGTGAAGACTCCAAGCGCACAAATCCTGATTCAGATCAACACGAATCACTGAATATTCAGTTATCTGGTGATTCACGTCTAAAGGAAGCGTTCAGTCTCTCACACACACACACACACACACACACACACACACACACACACATGTATATATTTATGTATGTGTGTGTGTGTGTGATGTAGCCTATTTTATATTATTTAGGCACTTATCGGCTATAGTTTGACAGAATGTTCTGAACATGCCATGAGAAGTCAATCTTAACATTTTCTTATATTGATATTGTTTATTTCTTACTCCTTAACAGTTCATCAGGCTCTGAATGATTTAATCTATGCCATCTTTTGGAATAGGCCTATCTGAAGACCATATACCATAGTTCTTAACTGTAGCATTTGTTATAAGACTAGCCTATTAATCATTACCAGGCCAATAATTACTTTTTTTAATTAATCAATATATAGCATGTGTTATGAAGAAACAACCGCCTGCACATTTAGAAAAAATAGCTACAACAAGCCACAGTTGTAATAAAAATCTATAGGGAAAAATCTGTTCCCTTCACAGATTATCTAATATAAATTCTACAAGAAGTTCGACTAAATTTTACACAATAAATAAGCCTACAATAAAACGTGATAAATTCTAGTAAGGGTGGTGATGTGAGCTGTTAAAGCGCCCACACTAGGCATTCGAGCCGCTCGGCTGCTAGACTCTGACTCACTTTCGTGTTTCGTCCTACACTATTGTTTACTGATGATAATGATGGTGATGATGGTGATGATGAAAAACATACTTTATATCTCTCTATATGAAACAAACAGCTGACGATTAACCATTTCAGTGCAGCCTCTGGAGTATAATCTCAGTCTCACAGTATAAATGATGTCTACTCTACTGAACATGTGCTGTTTTTGCAGTATATGATGTACAGTGTGCACACTATGAAGGGAACCCACTATAAAATGTACAGCATCCCATAATGCAATGCGGTTGGCTAGACAAGTTTGCAAAATGAACCAGAGATGACATCAACTGTGACTAATTATACGCACTTACGCACAAAAAATCATTACAAATGTAACATTTTCTTATTTATTTATAAATAATGCAGCATACTACTGTTTGAAGTCATTGCATACTGCATGCTAAACTCCAGCAGTAGGCAGTATATACTGTGCAGTGTGCAGAATGCTGTTCCAACACGACACAGGTTAATATTCGCTCACAGTCCTGCAGCGCCACCTATCAGTATTATACACACACACACACACACAAAAAAAACAATTAAACAAACAAACAAATATGATCTGTTTTTAATGTGGATTCTCAACGCAAAAGCAGTGCAGGGATATCGCTTTTGCCTTGTTTGTTACTTTTCTCAGCGCTGTTCGGGATGGACCAATCAGAGTCGAGTGTGAGAATTCGATGAGGATTTGAAAAAATTTATTTTTTAAAGATTCATAAAGATAATTTCTTTTTGTATGGCAGATAACAATCCTTATAGGTTATAATATTAAATGATTACACTTATATCAATCGTACGATTTATAATTATAAACGCCGCGCGCCCCAAAACAATGTGACCGTTGTGTATCATAGCAACAGCCATTAGCGGGTTTTGCCGCCCCTAGTATCGCGTCGCGTCGCGTCAAATCAGTCGCTTGCTGTGGAGTTTCACACGCTCATGTGACGCGCCGCCTACGGAAGTTTCTTACAGGCTTTTTCTGTGTTTCAGTGGATTGGAGAAACATATACAACCATCCGGAGGAAAACAACAACAACCGGAGCGATAAAACAAGCCCAAGTTCTGCCGCAGACGCGCGTGTGAGTGTGTAATTCATTCATATTGTTTGAGAGTTTATGTTCAGTTTGTTGAACTTTTGCGCGTTTTTCAGTCAGTAACACACAGAAATGAAGGAATGAAACGCCTCGATGATTTTATTATCAGCATAAACTCGAGCAAATCTCTCCTGCGGTCTCACAGCCACGGAACAACTAACTTATAAATATCACTCTAATTTTAAAAACTTTATGACAGGACATTTCTATAGCGATTATCGACGATATGTCATTTTAGTAACGCTCTGACATATTTCATCGCTTGGAAATCACTCTTGTTGTCACATTTTTATTTATTTATTTTTTTTAAAATTTTGTCCTCATTTGTAAGTCGCTTCGGATAAAAGAGTCTGCAAACTGACTAAATGTAAATGTAAATCCTTCTTCTGGAATGCTGTTGCAACACGACACAGGCTAATATTCACTCACAGTCCTGCAGCGCCACCTATCGGCCAACGCGTGTAATGCTGCAGTTAGAAACACATTAAAATACAATGAAACTACAATGTCCATAAATACCAGAATGTATCAGAATATAATATATAGATTTTTCCTGTTCATAAGTTTAAAACTCAGAAAGTCCTTTTTAATTACATTAAGAATAAAAACTAATATAAATTATATATAGCTATATTACAGTTTTTTCCAATTGCTAACACACTAAAATGACATGCACAGCACAATTATTTAAACTGACACACAGAGAGCAAAACTTCTTCTCAAGTCTCCAAAAGTCTAAAAACATTTTCTGCTTTACACACATTTTGCATTTCAAAATGGCACTTTTTATTTTTTTAAAATTTTGTCCTCATTTGTAAGTCGCTTCGGATAAAAGAGTCTGCAAACTGACTAAATGTAAATGTAAATCCTTCTTCTGTAAATGGAAATTCTTCAGTCAGAAGTGTGAGAAAAGACAAGACTGTCTGTCCGATTATTTTCTGATTCACATTTCAGTAGTTTTTCTGTCTGTATTTCTGTCTTTCTCTGTTTTTCTGCTTCTGTCTTTCTCTCTGGTTGCTCAGTTGCTGGAATGTTTGTTTCTTTACCCGGTAAATGCTCAGTATGTGTGTGTGTTTGAGGGATGTGGTCCTAAACCACAAGATTTCACAGGCGTTGTGGACCGACTAATAGAGTTCTTAAAGCAGCACTATGTAACTTTTGGCGCTCCTAGCGGTTAATAAACAGAACTGCACACATCCCGCGGAAGAACATTCCAACCGGATCTACTTCTCTAAGTTTATGTCTATGGCGATTCACGCAGGTATGTGTTACTCCGCAGCGGTGACCAGGTTACAATCGTCCAAATATAAGTACTTATTATAAGTGTACCGTAGTGATGCGGAATAAGACAAAAACGCGGTTTGGAAGATGAATTCATGATGTACTCATTATATACATTTTGCAAATTTTGAACACATTTTGGCGCTCTAGCGGTTAATAAACAGAACTGCACACATCCCGCGGAAGAACATTCCAACCGGATCTACTTCTCTAAGTTTATGTCTATGGCGATTCACGCAGGTATGTGTTACTCCGCAGCGGTGACCAGGTTACAATAGTCCAAATATAAGTACTTATTATAAGTGTACCGTAGTGATTCGGAATAAGACAAAAACGCGGTTTGGAAGATGAATTTATGATGTACTCGCTCATTATATACAGTTTGCAAATTTTGAACACAGAAAAAGTTTCAGAGTGCTGCTTTAAAGAGATAGAGCACTAATATTAGTGCACTGCAGTCATGCTCTGCATGCACAGGACGATTTAAGTTCCTTTAACGCTCATAATAGAGATCTGTGTGTGTGTGTGTGTGTGTGTGTGTGTGGAGGGGTTAACTAGTCCTGTGATGTGGCTGGAATGTTAATCAGGTTGATGTTTGTTATAAACACTGAAGCGGCTCAGTCGAGCTTGATGTTGTTCAGCATTTCTTTCAGTGAATGTTCGTCAACACTTCCAGTTCCTTGTGAATTTATAACCAATTTGCCTTTTTATGTCACATCAGCGTTTATTAAATGCTTTTAAATGCAACTAAACCAGCAGCAGCACATGATGAGAGATGTCTTTATTATCACGTTAGTGATTAACAGGTGATATTTGGATATAATTACACGATTAGTTTGCTGATAAACAGAAGTGGTAGTTCTCTCTTGTTTCAGTTCCAAAACCTGACAGCACTATTGATGGGTAATAAACATCTTATTTGCCATCACTAAATTTTTTTCTGTATTTATTGGTATGATGTACGGGACTATCAGCCATTAATAATTCAGCCGAAACTGAAGATGATCTGAAAATGTGTTCACCCTCAGGCCATCCGAGATTAGGATGAGTTAGTTTCTTCATCAGGTTTGTAGAAATGTAGCACTGCATCAGTGTCTCAGCAATGGATGCTCTGCAGTGAATGGGTGCCGTCAGAATGAGAGTCCAAACAGCTGATAAAAACATCACAATAATCCACAAGTAATCCACAGCACTCCAGTCCATCAGTTAACATCTGGAGAAGACAAAAGCTGAAACAAATCCAGCATTAAGACG